TAATATGGTTGTTTTAAGTACATGTACTGTAATGTTATTTAATGTTAACATATGGAACAATATAAGTAGCTAACCATTAATGGTATAGAAAAAAGTGAGACTGCGCGTATGTAAGTGCGCATATGTGAAAACATATCGTCATTACTCTACATTAGAATATGAAAGCAACACTTATTTACCGTTCATATATGTTTTAATTAATGTTTATGAATTTAAAACAAAAATTCTACTCACCAGTGGCGGTATAGTTGAAAACATACGGACAGACAATGTTATTGTGTGTGTTTTTACTCGGATGATGAAGTTGTCAAGCCATCAGGTTCAACTCTAGCTGAAGCCGTAGAACATAAGAACTTTTCTGTGTTGTTTTTAGTTTTTATTTAACTTAATCTGTGTTATTTTCGTTGGTTTATTACAGGTAGTAATTCCCCCTAAAAGTAGGGTAAATAAGGCAAAATTTTGCCAAACATCGAAAGTACCAGACTCAAATTAATTTTCTCCAAGGGAAGTTGTATTTAAATTTGGAGGATTTGAATTTTGCAAGGTTTTTACAGTCTAAATAGGTGTCCAAATATGAGAGCCTACTGTATATGTATAATTTAGAAAATAATTTTGTTTGTAGAGTAATTATAAACAGAATATTTTATGTGATAGCCAAGGCAAGGCACAAAAACTGAACAAAAAAGGAACAAATAATTGAACAAAAAAATTCAGAAATTGTTGAATACAATGTCAAAATATTCCGAACTCCATTAATTCGGATTTTACCGTAATTTGAGTGACCCCTAGCCCCTTTCTTGTCGAATTAAGGAGGGTTTAGTGTAATTCTGAACACATTGATTAATTATGAAAACAAATTGTTCATTGTATACTGTAATAAGCTACAGCGTTTTTCTTTGAACATGGGTTCCTCAGAAATAGAACAAAAAGCAAATTGTCTGTCATGCTGAAACAAAATGTTGAAGAGGTGATATCAGCAAGGTCCAGAACCAGGCCTGTGTTATAGATGACAGTCACTTCACTACATCAGGTGGATACCAGTTTACATATGAACAAATTATTGATAATTTCATGGATTAAGTCGGCAACCAATTTTTCAGGCAGCATATTGTACCTAATCATCTTTGATGTTTATGCATCAATAGCAGCTTCAACTAAAGCCACTGAGCACCACTGTTGCTCTTAAAAAGCAATGACCTACGAGGTGCTGTTTGATAGAGTATGAGAACAAAAGAAAAAATATTAAAATTGAATAGGCAGAGGGGTATGTAGACCATCAAATTGTGGTTACTATCAATTCACTGGAAATTTAGGACCTGAAGTTGTAATGGGCACAGATACTGACATTGTGGTCATACTGGTCAGCCAAGAAAATTTTTTGTTGTAAATCATTTGCATATGGTACGCAGCCACTTGTTCTGTGTCAGTGTGCTCGACATTGCATAAACATTAGAGATGATGTAAAGTATCTACTGTTCATCGACGCTTTCTCTGAATGTGACAGTGTATAAGTCATCAGCATCCAACTACTCCCAAGGAAGACCAGTCCCAAAGTCCTGTGATAGTGCCTCCAGCACCATGATAAATATAAGGGAACTCAATTGAACAATTGATTGTGGTACAATAATTACATCCTTGGCGACACACCAGCTTGGTTCATATTTCACTGAATTAAAATAAAGACTTAAAAGACTAAAATCAAATAATGCAAGGTAAAAAATATACATAATAAATAACATAGAACTTTGTGAAATCCATTTAATAAGGGTACTCAAGACAGACTCGTCATGGAATCCAACTTTTTCATAAAATTCCTCACCATTCAGTCTCACAGATGTTTTTGAGCCCTAATATACCTGTAATGCCATAACCACCTGAACAAGGTACTCCGAGATTCCTAGTTTTCTCAGTGTCCACTTCACTACTTCATCTGGTACACAGTCGAATGCCTTCTCTAAATCTACAAGCATGAACTACAATTTTCTCTTTCCCTAGATATTTCTCTTGTAGTTGCCTCTGTAGTCCTCCTATGTGGCATAAACAAAAACTACATTTCGTTTATGTCTGCTCTCTCCATATCAATTTTTCAAAACACTCTTTCTGCTACTTTCATAACCTGACCTTGCAGCTTCAAGACCCTGTAGTTCCCACATTCATGTGCATCACCTTTAACTTTGTAAATACAGTATAGTATAGACTGGATTTACGCGGTTTTTGTTTACGCGTTTGGTCATTTACGCAGCACCTTGCCAAAATGAACTGTTTTAATTACGTGGTAAATTTCATCATTTACACGGGTGAAGTATAATTTGTTTATTTACTGAAGATATTTGTTTTTAGCTCATAAAATTCATAGAAATTACCCGGCCAGAATATAATTTACATTGCTGGAATTCTTATAAGATGGTGATTAATTTAAATATAAACATCCTGAAATTTGCATTAGACTTACAAATTTTTGATCTAATTTAAGAATATTATTAGAAATAGCAAAAATTTTATCTTTTGTACAAAATAAATGACGTTTATATTCAAATTATTGGCAGTCTTGCAAGGAATCCAGCAATGTCAATTATATTATCCTAACTTTAGTCTGAGGTATTATTTGTTACTAAACATGTAAGCCTAGTGTTTTCCCCAAACATTTCTCTGGTAGGGAGGGGAGGGAGGGACCCAGTGAGCGTGGGAAGAGGGGGGGGAGCGGAGGTGGGGTATTTTGATTGACAGATAGTGTTTGGGTGAAGTATAATTTGCTTATTTACTGAAGATATTTGTTTTAGCTCATAAAATTCATGGAAATTACCCAGCCAGAATATAATTTACATTGCTGGAATTCTTATAAGATGGTGATTAATTTAAACATAAACATCCTAAAATTTGCATTAGACATACAAATTTTAGATCTAATTTAAGAATTTTATTATAAAGAGCAAAAATTTTCTCGTTTGTGCAAAATATGATGTTTATATTCAAGGAATCCAGCAATGTCAATTATATTATCCTAACTTTAGTCTGAGGTATTATCTATTACTAAAAATGTAAGTCTTTTGTTTTCACCCAAACATTTCTCAGAGAGGGAGGAGCCAGCGAGCGTGGGAAGAGGGGGAGGGGGAGTTGAGTCCATTATTTAAATGGACATTAACCTGGCGACTGTATTTCTCTTAAATATTAATTGTGTGTGCATACCATCATAAAATTAAGATGTTCTTTTTACTACAACATACGTATTGTGTCGGAAAAAGTGTAGTTTGGGGGTCGGCCCAGTCTCTATTTTAATTAATCCCATATGTTCTGTTATTTCGTTTACGCGTTTCTATTTTACGTGAACCTCCACGGGTTCAATTGACCGAGTAAATGAAGACTATACTGTATTCACAATCAGTCATCTGGAACAGTACATTCCATCATGATTCCAGTAGTCAATTTGGTCACCATTAACATGCCTACATTGCCTAGTACTCTCAGTATTTCTGCAACTACCCAGAGCTTCCAGCCACCTTTCCATTCTTTATTTTGCCAATTAATTTCTTCACCCATTCTCTTTCAATCCTTGATCATGGTTCCTGTACTGGATCTATCACCCCTAGGCAGCCTCTATTCCATTTCTACACCACCACTCAGAAATAAACTGTAGTACAGTATTTTCTCCAGGCAACCTTGACTTCCACATTATCAACGACTGCATTACCATGGTTATTTCTCACACACTACTCATTAACAACATCCTTGTTTCTATTCACTATTTACCTAACTTTTTTGAAAAGCTCTCCTCTTGTATCTGCACTCTACAACATATCCACAAATGTGTCCTGATCTTGCTTCTTAGCCTCGTAAACCTCTCTTCTGGGCCTATGCTTGGCCTCTAGATACTCCACCTTGTCATCACCCATCTGCCAGGCCGCATACAATCTCGTTTTCTCATTTACTGCTCTGTCTACTTCATCATTCCACCACCATGTTACTGCCTGCCTGGCTGGGCCCTTCATCCAGCCACACATAAAGCCATAAAATTAAATCATACCAGTATCAAAATTTACAGTACCATGAAGACAAGTCAGTCTGTTGGTCTGCTTTTGGAGTGGGGATCCTCCAGCCCAAATCCAAGAAGTAAAAAAAATTATGGAAGTGAATGTTAATGCAGTGTTTTTTGTTTTTAGGTTTAATGTGTGTATTAAACCTGTCTATTATTTAAAACTTCTTTTGAATGGTTGGAAGACATGACCAAAAAATAAAAAAAAATGTGAAAGGTGGTAGGGAAGCAAAAGTGCAGGTGGTCTCAGGAGTAGACTGATGACTTAGAAGGGCACAGTGCTCAGTCATCATATTTTTTGTTGCTATTGTACAGGGTCTTGTGGCATTACCCATTTTCCTTATATTCATTATAATGTTCATATTCGGACTAAATATGTAAGGAATTTCATGTTGTAACTACAGTACTGTATATGTAAGGTACAGAAATTTGCGTGCGTGTGTGCGTACATGCATATACTATATGAATATGTTTGTGTGAGCGTGTATCGCATTACAAAAGCTTTAGTAAGTTACAGATATATTCTTACATTCTCAACATATTTTGCAACTGCAATGAATCTGGGGAATATACAGTAGTACTGTACCTGTTTTTTTACTCAGGGAAATGTACAGTACAGTACAGTACAGTACATACAGTACTCTGAACTTATTTAAGAGTTACAATTTTAATCTCATATGAGTGCATGGTTGCATGCAGTGGCGTGTCGTGAGAAAATGCTAGGGTAAGCAAATGACGCTTTCTTACTTGTAAAGTCACGAGATCTAAAAGAATTCTTTAGTAGATCACATACAGTCTGTGATCTAAAGAATTCTTTTAGATCTCGTGACTTTACAAGTAAGAAAGCGTCATTTGCTTACCCTAGCAATTTCTCACGACACGCCACTGGTTGCATGAATGTCCAAAGTAAGAAATTTATAGCAGTATCTTCCCAATAAATGTTGATTAGCAGGTACAAATATAACGAAGATTAATATTAATCATTTACAGATCTTTAATAGAAAGATTACTGTATAATCTGTTCAGGTAAATAATAATCAAATTTAAAAGGTGTTGATCTAACAAGGTTGTGAAGGATTTACAGTAGCTATGATTTACAATAGCTATTATTATTTTTTTTCATGATACGGTGTATCTGATGGATATTGTTCATTAACAGAAATAGAGATACCTGTAAAACCTCTCACTTTTTGATTACATTAGAGAAGATTATTATGTCTGTAGAGTAGTGGAATAGCAATCGCAGCAGCAGTTCTCACTGATGAGTCTGGATCACGAAGAAGGTACAAGAGGCCATGGCTGACTGCTGATACATTTAACTCATCACTGCCTTTACTGTGGTACACCAGATTACCTGTAGTGATAAAAATAAAGGATTTAAATATAATATCCCATTTCATGACCTTGGGCTGAGGTGAATTATCTGTAAGATCCAACTCGATGAACACCTATGACCAAGTTCATCGCTGCCATGAGGCATGATAGTTTAGTGGCTCGATGCATTTTTAAGAGAATAACAACTGATGCCAATGCAGCTCCTCACCCAGTCACACTAGAAGCATTTCAAGGTATCCAGTATTGTGGTGGGTGCCTGGTACACCCAGTGAAATTACTTGGTGAAGAGTTAAGCTTTCAAAATTCTACTGCAATTTGTAGTTACCCAGCCACTGTCAGATTTTCAAGACCCAAACCTCTCAATTATGGATGACCCATAACCTAATGACGGCCTTAACCCTCATGTCAAGCTGACTTTGAACAATTGGAGTGTCCCATTACAATCATCAGTTAAAAACAAAAAGAACTGATCTTCTGATCTTGAACTCCTATTCTATACACAAAACTGGACTGGGCAACTTCCTCCTCCCAGGGGTATGTTACAAAGTTAACTGGGACTGAAATCACAGGCTGTCAGACGGTGCACATGATGTAACATCACAACTCATTAGCCCTCTACTTTAATGACACTTCTTACCTCCAGGAGCCAACTTAAATTGTCCTGGTTATTGCTGAAAGTCACAAAAAATTTTGGATTAGTTCTAGCTGCTCCTGTTGACTAGTTTTAGGATTTTAGCCCCATAGACTTAGCAGTCCGTAGGATCAGTCACCCAATCCAGGTTTGATTACAAAACGGGATTTCAGGATTAATTCCCCACGTGTAAAATGATCTGAGATTTTTTGTATAGCTTATACTGTAGGTACAGTTTTTGTGACTTAAAAATGAAACCCAACTGTAGAATATCTTCCAACACATGATAAGTGGCAGGGTTTCTACAACACCCAGGCCAGCGTATAACATGGAATGAGAGAGAGAAAAAAAAGAAGCTCTGCCAGTCCATTCGGCTTGCATCTGTCTCTATACCTATTATTATATTTTTTTTATCCTAAAACAAGCGCATAAAAACAATGAAAAGTGACACAATGTCTGAAAAAGAATGAGTACAGTACCGATCAACAGAGCAGCAGCACGACGCAGAGATGACTCTGAACTTTTGAAGTATGATGAAGCAGCTTGAATGAAAAATCCCATGCGATCTTTCAGATCCATTACCTGTGTCACAAGTAAATAAAAAAAATAAATTGTAAAGAAGACGGGAAATGATAAAACATACATGGATATTTGATATCTATACAAAATGTGATTTATTAATGGCTGCTCTTGATTAATCAATCTGACACTGGCCTCAAAACAAAGCTATGAGAAAGATATGACAATAAAAGAGGAAATACAGTCGGCCCTTAACATAAGCGGGTTTATAATACAGTCGGCCCTTAACATAGGCGGGTTTATAATACAGTCGGCCCTTAACATACGCGGGTTTATAATACAGTGACCCCTCGTTTAACGAACGCCTCGGTTAACGAACTGCCTTCCATAAGGATCTTCAATTCGGTTAACGAACAAAAATTCGGTTAATGAATTTCTTACGAACCGACCTCAACATGTTTTCGCTTGCACTGACCGGGCAACCAGCTTTAGTATCAGTCCGCCAATAAAGTAATCGGTTTTAGGGCTTATATTCCTTACTATTTTAGTAAATATCAAGAAGTTTATACTATTCAATAATTTTAAAAGTTTAATATTAACTTTTTTAGTCATTTTAACAATTATTGAACATAATTGAAGGTAAAGAAACTAGTTTCTGGCATGCCATCCAGCCTGTTAACACACCAGACAGGCGTTAGTCTCTCTCTGTTTTCAGTGGAGGTAACATCTTTCTTGAGACTCTCTTCAACTAAACGCTTTTTTTCTGTGATTCCAAGCAAATTATTGGTCATTTTGAAATATATTTTCCATATTGACAATATATAATGCAGTGCAGTGTTGATTTAAAGAAATTAATCTTGAAATACACCAAGAGAACTAAAATTTTATGGGTGAAATGGTGCCATGGGGTGACTTCTCTTCCACCCCAATGCCTTCTCTTCTTCCTTCTCCTCCACCCCCAGTCTAATTCCCATCATCATCATCATCATCCAGGAGCCTTCTACATACACACCTCAAAGTAAGTGAACTTTTCTACCATTTTTGTTGAATTTAGGCAATTTTCGGTGAGCTGGAACCAATTACCCAAAAACCCATTGAAACAATGGTTTCGGTTAACTAACTTTTCGGTTAACGAATGACCTTCTGGAAAGGATTGAGTTCGTTAACCGAGGGGTCACTGTACACAGACTTGCAAATACGCGGATTGCCCCGCTGGAGGAATATTCTGTACATTGAAGTAATTGAAGTACATTTAAATCGCGCGTCATTCAACTCGCGCGCGACACCGAACACAGGACACCGCCCGCTCCCGCAACCTCACACACACTTGCATAGCTCTCCCTCACTCAGTCAGTCTCGCTGTAACCACGCTTGTGTTGACATCAGCATTGTAGTTGAAAAAATATTACATTTCCGTGAATGTATTATATCAAACACAGTATGAATAGAATATCACTAATATAAGAGTATTTTAACCGAAAACTACTAAAAAAACGAGTAACATATCTTGAACATTGGAAGGTTAGGTAAAGTCTTTTGTTTTCATGTAGTTTATCCTAATTTACATTGAAATGCATTACGTTTCAGCAAAACTACTATTTATTTCTGAGAATATGGAAATGTAATATTTTGCTGAAATGACGTACGTATTACAGTGGAAAGTGACGAAAGCAATGACTCGCTTTCTTTCGCTCAAAAGATGTTACCGTAATCGCTTTTCGAATGGTTTTCAGTTAAAAACTGTTGTATTACAATAATATTCTATCCTAATTCACTTGTGATGCAACAGTTTTTTTAACTGAAAACCATTCGAAAAGCGATTACGGTAACATCTTTTGAACGAAAGAAAGCAAAAGTCATTGTTTTCGTCACGATTTTGTCCCACATTCCACTGTAATACTTACGTCATTTCAGCAAAAATATTTCATTTCTGTGAATGTAGTATATCAAGCACAGTATGAATATAATATCATTGTAATATAACAGTATTTTAACCGAAAACTATTAAAAAAACGAGTAACATCTCTTGAACATTGGAAGGTTAGGTAAAGTCTTTTGTTTTCGTCATGTATTTTATCCTATTTTACACTGAAATACATCACGTTTCAGCAAAACTACTATTTATTTCTGAGAATATATTCATTCAGGCACAGTTTAGGTAAAATATACATGTGCTGTAACATTTTTTTAATTGAAAACGATTCGAAAAACACGTACCCTCTAGCCCTGTTCAAGGAGAAGACTGGGAGGAGCTGTTTGGTGCTTAAGACGATGACAAGGAAAATGATTTTGATGGATTTTAATGAAAATATTCAGAAAGACCCTGGCACTGTCAAGGAAAGTGGCTGCTGAAGGCTTCCAGGACATGGCAGAGGACGAGATTAGGGAGCTAATTGAAGAGCACGACACTGAGCTGACCGAGGAGGATCTACAGGAGTTAGTAGACTCAGGCAAGGAAGAGGAAGCGAAAGGGAAAGAGGATGAGGAAGAGCACCGAGAAATAACGTTGGAGAAGTTGCAGGAGATGACCAGGAATATTGAGGCACTGAAAAACCTGGCCTATAGTATGGACCCCTCCATGGTGCGTGCCCTGAAATTCATGCGAGGGATGGATGACGTTTTCGCTCCATACAAAAACATCATGGAAGAAATGAAAGAAAGAGACGACAACTCCCTATCACCATGTTCTTTGATCACCGAAGGAGAGATTTAACACCATCAATCACTGGCGGCAGTGAGGAAGCAGCTGAATCCACCGTCGCCCCCACTTCACCACCCGTTATGGAATTGAGTGACGATGAGCCCGATGACCCCCGTCCTGTGAAATTTTTATCTCTTTTTTTTTAATAGCTTTTCTTGCCATGTTTATTGTTTGTAAAAATGCACAGCACAGTACAGTTCAGTACTGTACATAGGAAGTGGAGGTGCAGTTATTCACAAAACATTTGTGTTCGTTGTTGGCAGTAGTGACGGTGAGGAGGTGGAGGAGGGAGCGGAGGGAGCGAGTTGGGAGGAGTGGTGACCTTGGACGCGGGAGCAGGGACGAGTGGAGATGCCAGCCAGTACATTATGGGTGTATTAATTGTTTTTATAGCTATTTTTGCATTTTAATATTAAATATTGTACATTACGTTTCAACAAAACTGCCATTTATTTCTGAGAACATGGAAATGTAATATTTTTGCTGAAATGATGAACGTATTACAGTGGAAAGTGGGATAAAATTGTGACGAAAGCAATGACTTTCTCTTTCTTTCGTTCAAAAGATGTTACCGTAATCGCTTTTCGAATGGTTTTCAGTTGTGGGATTATAAGGCTAATGATAGGATAGAATATTATTGTAATACAGTACGAGTACAACAGTTTTTTAACTGAAAACCATTCGAAAAGCGATTACGGTAAAATCTTTTGAATAACGAAAGAAAGCAAAAGTCATTGTTTTCATCATGATTTTATCCCACTTTCCACTGTAATATGTACGTCATTCCAGCAAAAATATTATATTTCCATATTTATTTCTGAGAATACCTATATTCATTCAGTCACAGTTAAGGTAAAATATACTTGTGATGTAATATTTTAATGAAAATACGGTATCGTAGTTTTCTTTTGTTTCAAATTTAATTAACAAAGATTGATGTTTCAAATGTAATGAACAAAAATTTATGTACAGTATCTATAAATAAACTTTAATAAATGAATACTTTATGTTTTACATCGTCCTGTGCTACCATACCATGGATTTGGCTACTTTGGGCTTGCTATGATGACGCAAGAGATCTGCCCTGGCAACTGTACCGACACTCACAGCTGGTGGTGCGTTGGTGCATCGTTTCCATTGTTTACTGGTAATTACTGGTAAATATTTTTCAACCTAACGAAACTATTACCCGTTTAGAGGTCGACCCCCAATTTTTTGCCAAATAATTTGGTCTTAAAAACTTGAACTACACACAGGTATATACGGTAAATAAGGACATGGGGGGGGCCAGGTTTGTTTTTGGGGGGGGGGGGCAGCACATATACGCGGATTTTTAACATCCACGGGTATCTCTGTTACGTAACCCCCGCGTTTGTTAAGGGCCGACTGTATCTGTAAGAAAGGCAAGTAATAGATTATGAGTGAGCTTAGCATATTGTTCAAAAGAACAATTTTGCTTGAACGATGGTGATGTATTAAGATCACCCCGTATTTATGAAAAAAAAAATTGCATGAACGATGGTCATCATCCAGTCAACACGGAATACGGAATGTATCTCTTGGCTCACTTTTCACCTGTGATTGACCCTCACACTGCCAAGCGGCCACCCGGTGAACTACAGTACCAAGTTTTGTTCCATGGTGATCAAACATGGCCGTGATCGTATAAGTCAACAATCATCGGTCAGTATCAATGTTGTTATTTATCACGAGTGTTTTTTATTTTTGCCTAACAGTGAGTGGACATCACTAACGTTCACATTATACTATGTTTTGGTGACTGTGAAGTGAATTCTGCTTCTTTTTGTGACTGTAAAGTGCTGGGCCTCTTTTGTTGTGAATATAATGTGAGCAGTGCCGGTCGTAATAACTTTATCATCATTCAATCTGTTTATGTGACTGTGAAGTGAGCAGTGTAACTTTGAAAATGTCTGGGAAGGCCATGGCATCCAAGACAACTTTGTCTTTGAGGTGAAGCTTGACACTGTGAAGTGGCATGAGACTCCCCAGAGCCTGTGTGGGAGTCAGAGTGGCATCTCCACTCCACCTTCAAGTCCCCTTAGCTTCAAAGGGGACATGTGATGATGCCCAGACTTGTTCGTAATGATGTGGTGAGTGTTGTTTAATTGTGTTTTAAGTACATTATTAGTGTAGGAATTTTATTTTTTTTGGTGATACATGTGGGTGTCGGACTGTTATTATAAGATTTGCATACTACAAAGATGTGTTGTTTTCTGCATAACATAAGCAATATATTAGAAAAATAGTGGATTCATCCAGATTCCATGTTATAACCAAGTTGGAATCGTACTACCCTACTGTACATGGTCAGCAATCCTACGGGGCAGAATCCCTAAGCCCTAACTTACATGATTAGGTTCTAAAAATTTATTAAACTTAAAAAATAATTATTTTAAACCTTTATACCAGATTTCATAAGGTTACTCATTAACATGAATGTAATCTAAAAATTTCTATAGACAGAAATTAAACATTGTAAGTCTAAGTTCAGTACAAATGAAATATGGATCATACATGGTAAAGTAACTTTTATGTCCATTTGAGCCCCTTGGAGCAAAGGAGTTAAAGAAACATGGAACAAAAAACCTATAATGGAACACTACATGGAGATTTGGTGACTCCCAAGCATACTTGTCAGACAACTCTCTTCCTGAGAATGAAACATCCACTTATTTCATTCTAGCTAGATCCATTATGTGGTATAGAAATACCTGTATCATAAAAAAATAAATAAATAAAATCAATCTGTGCGCAGAAAAATTATGTGGCCATAGGGCTAAGAGTGTTGGTCACATAACTAACTTACAAGCTAACCAGTAACTTTAGTTGCGCTGCAAAGTGAGCACTCATACAAAATGATATAAACCTGTTGCAGAAAATAAAACAAATACCTAGGACTGGATGGCAGCACTGTATACCATGTGCATAAAAAAAATAGCCATCCGTTACGTCAGAGCAAGTGAAGGTGTGACTAGATCTAAGGTGGTGATCCTATTGATATCATCTTGTAGCCTAATTCAAACAAATACTGTACACAGTAAGTGGATTACAGCATCAGTGTGTATGAACGATAAAAAAATTTCTCTAGCCATTTCCATTTGAGAATTTTCATGCCACAGGTACCATTGTGGAATTTGGTATGAAAATGAAGAAAATCTTATTTTTTGTTCAATCCAGAAAGTGACGTCTAGCTTTATACCTAGGTATGTACTGAAACATGGTAATAAATATGCAATTAAGAGTACATAAAACTTTTCTAATAACAGGTTGTATAGTGGCCATGTAATCTAAACTTTTACATACAGTGGTCCCTCGGTTAACGAGCGCCTCGGTTAATGAGATTTCGTTTAACGAGTTACCTTCCATAAGATTCTTAACTTCGGTTAACGAGCAATCCCTCGATTAACGAGTTTCTTACGAGCTGACCTGAACATGTTTTCGCTTGCATTTGGCGGTCCACCAGCTGTAGTATTTGTCCGCCAATACAGTAATCAGTTCTAGGGCTTATATTCCTTACCATTTTAGTAAATATCAAGAAGTTTACAGTATTCAAGAATTTTAAAAGTTTAATATTAAATTTTCTAGTAATTTTAACAATTATTGAACATAACTGAAGGTAAAGAAGCTAGTTTCTGGCACGCCATCCAGCCTGGCAACACACGAAACAGGCGTTAGTCTCTCTCTTTTCAGTGGAGGTAACATCTTGCTTGAGACTCTCTTCAACTAAATGCTTTTTTTCTGTGTTTCCAAGCAAATTATTGGTCATTTTGAAATTTATTTTACATATTGACAATATATGATGCAGTGCAGTGTTGATTTAAAGAAAATAATCTTGAATTACACCAAAAGAACTAAAATTTTATGGGTGAAATGGTACCATGGGGTGACTTCTCTTCCACCCCAATGCCTTTTCTTCTCCCTTCTCCTCCACCCCCATTCTAATTCCCATCATCATCATCATCCAGGAGCCTTCTACATACACACCTCAAAGTAAGTGTACTTTTCTACCCTTTTTGTTGAATTTAGGCAATTTTCGGTGAGCTGGAACCAATTACCCAAAAACCCATTGAAACAATGGTTTCGGTTAACGAGCAACCTTCTAGAACGGATTGTGCTCGTTAACCGAGGGACCACTGTAATTTCAATATTTTTTCATCTGCCACATAACTATAAACTGCTTATGAAATCTAAACAAACAGATGATAGTTACATTAACAGAGTGGTAGAGAAAATGTTTGAACAATATATAATATGAGGAAAAGCTTCTTACCATGTGCTTTGTGAGGTCAGTAATAAACTGGTGGTAGTTCAGAGCACCACTGGGAATTAAATGATCCTGGAACATTACATTCATTGCTTCTGAACCAAGGTGAGGACCCATTGCCTGCAGAGCACTCTTGCACATCTAAAAATATAATATCATGATATATACAACATCTTTACCATAAATGGAGGGTGTAAAGCAAGTAAAATTAACACAATCTCAAAATTTATGTAGCTAATACTGTATATTAAAACCTAATGACTGAATCAGCACAATTCCCTATAAAAGAAATTAGAATGTGACCTTTGAGGAATATGTCACAATCCCAATTTCAAATTTCCTGTTATATGTAGGTAGTAAGCAGCTACCAAACAGGGAGGTACTACTGCCTGGGAAGATATTGGAAGCAGAATGTGCTGTCTAATGGTAGACCCTGCTGCCATGTGGCATCAAAAAATTGTGACTAAGATCCAGGATGCTGATCTGACTTTCTGCCTCATTTACACACAATTGCAGGGTCTCAATTGTTTCTCTTACTTTGACATACCAAGAAAAACATAAAGGGAATACTTTTCTTACATGCGCACGAGTTATCACAGAACGGTGGGCAGATTTGCATAATTTTCTTCATTTTTCTTTTACTGTAACATACACAAAGAATAGCATTTCTTACAATTCGCAGAAGTTATCACACAGAGCAGAGGAGGGGGAGTGGAGTGGGGGGGCGCTCTCAGTTGTTCTCTCTCTCTTGCGTAAGGAAACTATGTATATTGTCAAATGTCAATGCAATATTTTGTCTTTTAATCTATTTATTAATATTATTTGGAATTATTCCTCACATTTACTGGTAAAGTTTATATTTTTTATGTACAAAGAATAGCTTCTTCTACACACAAACCACCCTCTGGGTGACATGATAACAGCTCAGCTCAAGGGCAACCCACCTGCGGGGGGGGGGGGCAAGGGAATAGGTAAGCCCTCACAGTCAGGCTCAGTGAGCTAATATTTTAGTAGTTGGTTTTTCCTTTCCTTCGTTTTTGTTAGATTCTAAATCCCCTTCTTTTGTTGAGTATATGTTGCTTATATATTTTGACACAAGCCTGATCCAGGGGGGAACTGCCCCCTCTTGCCACCCCCCCTTTAGCACACGCCCATGGTTCAGGTGCTAGGTCACTGGGGGCAGACAGAGCCTCTCACACATCCTGCGCGGGGTCGCACTTGTTATGCCATTCCGAGATTGAGACATTATATCTTAGGATAGTGCGAGTTATTGTACAGTACTTCACTTTTTCATAGTAGTGACAATGCAGGAAAAGCAATTGGGCAGCAACCACTGTAAATCTGATCTTAGCCACTGCATAGCGTTATTTGGTGTTAATTTCTTAACATCATAAAACTGATCAGTCGCATATCAGTCAATTGTATAATGGTCAACACCTGTACTGGCATACTATTTTTTAATCAGTCTATCAATGTTGCATTCAATGGACCACCCAAGCAATCAAACTTGACAATCTCTAACACTGCTTCAATGACTCTTTGGTAATATGAAGAGACAAAAATTTTTTTTATATACCACGACTGTTGGAGGATGAGGATCTGCCAAGTGAACTAATGATGCCAAAAGGTGAAGATGAATTTGCTCTCGAAACTCTTCACTGCCACCAACTGATGCTGCCAAGCCACGTAAAACACCTAAGCCAGCTTCACGCACCTCACCTGAAGACTAAAGGAAAAACATAATAAATGTGATCACTTTGTAAAAATTTTCCCATCCCACCTCCTAAAATACACTGATGGTAGTCCTGAAGAATTAAAAATACAGAACAGCATTTTCATGAATAGACCAATATAACTATATTGAATAAAACTGAGCATATAAACAGTGCTTCCTACAGGTAAATTCTTTAACTGAAAAAACCTACTTTTTCTGAAAAGAGTCTGATTCTGATGAGGAGTGTAGGTGTGTGCTGGAGTACAGTTTCCTGCGGCAGACGTGGCAGGAGAGCAGCAAGTCCTCTTAAAGCCTCCAGAGCTACCTGGGTTTCTATACTAACTCCATCACAATTGCTACTATCACGTTGGTCCGTTGCTTCAACCAGAGCAGTAATAATCTCTGCCAATTTTTCTGATACCTGAAAAATCACATGAATTTATCAAAATAAAGAGAATATTACTACAGGATCAAGCCACACATAATCAATCAATTTATTATATACAGTACAGTACAGTATTTATTTATATTAATTCAATAAAATATTCTTCATTTTATACCTTAGATCTTCGATTTGTTTGTTATTATAAAAGTAATTATTTCTTTATAACTTGTTGAATCAGTGTACAATAAAATACAGTACAGTACAGTACATGTATTTGTACAGGCTGATTTAATTTCAAACCAATGGTAAATAGATGAGAAGCCTCCCCCCCCCCACACCATTCTAATTTCCTAGTTTGAGTTTGGACCATTGTTTAACACTTTCGTGCACCGGTGTATTTGTAACATCATCACCTGCCACACACAGGGCTAGTTGTGACTTTTTGGCACAGAAGGGCTGTGCTGTATCTTTTATCCTTTGGTTGATTTTACGACAACTGGTTAATTTTTTTGTATGAAACCAACTGCATTCTGTGTTAAACTGGTTGCTCTTTCACTTAAACAAGAAAAATTGTGAAAAAAGAAGGAAGAAATACTTCTGAAGATGTGAAGTTATGCAATATAGTTCTCACCACAAACAACTTGCATTTAACAAAAAAATAAATAAAAATAAATAAATAAATAAATATAATAAGTATTAGAGTACAACAAAAAAAGCAGACAATTTCAAGCTTAATATTGGTAAAATCAGAAATTGGACATGAATAATAAAAAGGACAAAATTAAATACAGTAATACCCCCGGTTAGCGCTACCCTGTACAGCGCTGTTTCATTAGAGAAATCTTGCTTGCATTCTTGGAGCTCTAGCAATTAAAAAACAAATAACAAATAGAAAAGTGACTTAAAAGTCAGGATTCTAACCACTCACGCCAGATCAAGAGCAGTTCTCTATGTTTTTAATCACTCGGCCAATCAGCACCAAGCACTCTTTGTTTATCCCGAACACTACCTACAGTGCCCCAACACCACTCACACACCCCAACACCACCCACACACCCCAACACCACCCACACACTCCAACACCACCCACACACCCCAACACCACCCACACACCCCAACACCACTCACACCCCAACACCACTCCACACACCCCAACACCACCCACACACCCCAACACCACCCACACACCCCAACACCACCCACACCCCAACACCACCCACACCCCAACACCACCCACACACCCAGCACCACCCACACACCCCAACACCCACACACTCAACACCCACACCCCACACCACCACCCACCCACACACCACCCAACACCACCCACACACACTCCCCACACATCCAACACATCCACACACCACACCGCCCACACCCACACCACCACACACCCACACACACAACACCACCCACACACCCCAACACCACCACACACCGCCCCCACACCACCCACACACAACCACACACACCCACACCACACACCCCAACACCACCCACACACCCCAACACCACCCACACACCCCCACACACCCAACACCACCCACACACACCCAACACCACCACACACCCAACACCACACACCCCCAACACACCACCACAACACACACCAACCACCCCACGTTCCCACCACACACTCTCCACACACCCCCAACCCACCCACACACTCAACACCACCCACACACCCCGCCCACCCACACAACCCCAACACCACCCACACACCCACACACACACCACCCACACCCAACACCAACCCACCCACACCCCACCACCCACACACCCCACACACCCCAACACCACCCACACACTCCAACCATCCACACATTCCAGCACCACCCACACACCCCAACACCACCCACACACCTCAACACCACCCACACACCCCAACACCACCCACACACCCACCACCCACCACCCACACCACACACCCCAACACCACCCACACACCAACACCACCCACACTCAACACTCCAGCACACCACAACACTACACCACCCACACACCCCAACACCACCCACACACCCACCCCACACCACCCACACCCAACCCATCACACCCAACACCCACACACACACCAAACACCACCCACCACACTCCAACACCACCCACACACCCCAACACCATCCACACATTCCAACACCACCCACACACCCCAAAACCACCCACACACCCCAACACCACCCACACACCCCAACACCATCCACACATTCCAACACCACCTATGTCATTATCAACAACACCACCTATGTCATCATCAACACCACCTATGTCATTATCAACAACACCACCACCTATGTCATCATCAACACCACCACCTATGTCATCATCAACACCACCTATGTCATTATCAACACCACCACCTATGCTGTCATCAACACCATTACATGCCTCATCATCACCATGACCCAGCACTTCGTTATTGGTGGTGGAAATCGTTCGTGTCTGTCCTTCATGGAGGGGGAGGAGAGTGACAGTTAACACCACCTGTCTCAGCAGATGGTACAGGACAAAGCAGGCTATCCTGTATCATTATATCAATATTTGACCTGCCTGTATCAGAAGCTCAAAGCGACAGCATCTCCTGGTGAGTACTTCACCTTGCATTTTATTTTGTTAATTTATAGAGTAATTTTTTTTACAATATTAACAATACTATATTATTTGTGTACAGTGGTGTTTGCATAAATAAATACATCTCTGTGTCTGTCCGTGTGAGATACGTACTGCAGTTTAGACTCTCAGAAAACATTCCCTGGCACTGATGAGTAGTTTAGAATCTCAGAAAACTTTTTCCAGTAACCGGAAACATTTCGGGGATGTGCAATACTCTGTCCTTGTGAGATACATAGGTTAGACTCTCGGAAAACCCTCCCCAGCACTGATGCGTAGTTCAGAATCTTGGAAAACTTTCCCTAGCACCTGGAAACATTCCAGGGATGCAAAATTGTATTTGTCCGTGCGAGATAAGGCTAAACCTCTATTTACAATATCCTAATCTATGATAATTCGCATTACTCATCCCACCAACTTGCCAAGTCGGCATATTGAAAGCACGACTCACTTCATTTGTCAGCTGTGGCGTCATCTACCCAAATGCCGCCTCATAACCATCTGGTGAACTACAGACCAGGAATTATTTCTTCTTGCTTACCTGTGTGTGAGAAATGGAACACAATGTTTATCGGACATCATCGGTGTTGATTTTTGACCTTACAGTGAGAGGACATCACTAGTTCACACTGTATTCTGTTTTAGTGACTGTGAAATTCTTTCACTCTGACTGCAAAGTACTTCCCTGTTTTAGTGTCTGTGAAGTTCTTTCTCTCTGACTATGAAGTGCTATCACTTTGATCTCCCACCCTGACAATGGGTGACCTGACATTGCATCAGGTCAGGTTAGGTCCATTAACATGAGGCCCACTAATCCTCTACCACACCTCCAACACAAGTGTTAAAAGACCACTGGTGGAGTCAACGAATCTACGATTCGTACTATTAAGAAGGATGCAGCCAAGATCAAAGAACACATGAGAATCACAAAGTCTGCAGGTGCTTCAATGATCAAGTATTGTCAGAACAAGGTGATGTTAAAGGTGGAAAATTTGCTGGTGAGTTACTTGATTCGTGAGGCGCGACGCAACATGACGGTGGACACGCTATCCGTTCAAGAGTACGCCCGTGAACTGTACGCAGCAGTGTCACGCAAGATGGGAATTGCAGAGCCCAAACCCTTCAATGCTTCCTCTGGTTGGCTGCATAGGTTTAAGAAGAGGAACAAGATCACCAACATCAACATTGGTGGTGAAGAAGCGAGTGCTGATCGTGTGGCGGCTAGAGATTTTCCTCCGTTCTTAAGTGAGGTTATGGAGGAAGGACAGTACACCGACGACCAGGTGTTTAACATGGACGAATCCGGTCTATTTTGGAAAAAGCTGCCTACCAAGGCCTTCGTTGTCCAGTCTGCCAGCAAGATTCGGGGCCGGAAGTTGCAGAAGGAGAGCATCACCGTCCTCTTTACCACGAATGCCTCCGGTACCTGTAAACTCAAGTTATCGGTGATCCACACAGCCCGCAAGCCGCACGCCTACAAGAACGTGGACATGAGCAAGATTAATGTCCTCTGGCTGACCTCAAGTAAGGCGTGGATGTTCTCTGCTCTGTCACTCTCCTGGTTTGATGACTGTTTCGTTCCCGACGTGAAGAAATTCTGCGAGCAACAGAATGTTCCATTCAACATTCTGTTGCTCCTTGACAACACACCAAGACACTCGCCACTACTTATGGATCGTCACCCCAACGTAAAAGTGGCCTTCCTTCCTCCCAACACTACGACATTAATCTAGCCCATGGACCAGGAGTTGATCTGCAATGTGAAAGCTGCATACTCTGCAAAGAAGTTTAAACTCCTGAATGACTGTACCAACACCAAGGATGAGTTGCGTAAGTTGGGTGACACTGATAGCGAGAGCAAAAGCGACGAGGACAAGGAACAACAGGTGGTGAATCAAGAAGTTCTCGTCAAACAGTTTTGGAAAAAATTTAACGTCAAACAAGCTGTGGACTTCTTGGTGGAGGCATGGGATCAGCTGTCTGTAGCTACGATTCGTCACGCATGGAGGCATGTGTTGCAGGGTATACCAGGTGAGAGGCGGAGTCAACCTGTGACTGGTGAGGTTCAGTCTGTTACAGTGGCATTGGACCTTGCAAGAGAAGCTGCGCACAGTATTACAGCTGAAGGCTTCTCCGAGACCACCAACGAAGACATCCTGGAGGTGATCAGAGATCCTGAAATGACTGCCGACGAGATGTTGGAAGATGATCACATCAGTGAAGAGGCAGGTGGTGCGTCAACCCCAGAAGAACACAAGTTAACGCATAGTCATGTTAAGGGTGCCATCGAGTGTGCAGAGAAATTGAAGCTCTTCCTTTCCAACGACCATGACAATGACCGCTATGAAGTCTTCCATACCCGGCTGGTGCAGGCTATGGAGCTGCACATCAAGGTGTATGAAGACAACATCAACACTAGCCGTCAA